AAACCGTGTTGTTATACTGTGGGGAAACAAGTGCTGTGGAGGGAGAGGGGGGCTTTGGTGATGAGGGAGAGGAGGACTTTGGTGATGAGGAGGGAGAGGACCTTGGTGATGAGGAGGGCTTTGGTGACGAGGAGGGAGAGGAGGACTTTGGTGATGAGGAGGGAGAGGGCTTTGGTGATGAGGAGGGAGAGGAGGGCTTTGGTGATGAGGGAGAGGAGGGCTATGGTGATGGGGGAGAGGAGGGCTATGGTGATGAGGAGGACTATAGTGATGAGGAGGAGGGCTATAGTGATGGGGGAGAGGAGGGCTATGGTGATGAGGAGGAGGGAGAGGACGCCAGTGAAGAAGGATGCGATGATGATGAAGCTGCATCGCTCTCTGACCCCTTCAAATATTACTCAGATGACGAGGGAGAGGTCAATGGCGGTCGCAAGCTATCTAGGGAGGAGGTTTCTGCGCTCCAGCTTGCAATCGAAAGATCTCTGCGCCCCGCCAGTGAGAATGAGGAGAGAGTAGAAAAAGAAGCACCCGCACTTACACCTGCTCAAGATCTGGGCGCAGGTGAGGACGACAAGGAAGCCCCGGCATCTGTTTCCTCCGGACACGAATCTAGGGAGGATGGGGATGCGAAAGCTGCGGTTCTACTCTCTAGGCAAAATTCTCCCGACACCCAACATATGGCTGCGCTACTTCTGGAGCTTGCTGGAGAGAGGGCGGAGGAGGAAGGCGGGGAAGGAAAAGTGCCAGAGCTTAATTCCACTGGACATTCCAGCGATGAGGGAGAGGTCGAAGCTCGTGGCCCGCTCTCCAAACGGGGATATTCCGAGCTTGAGTTAGCAATTGCTACGTCTCTGGAGAGCCTTAGAAAAGGGGAGGAGGGAGGAGCGGAACAATCAGCACCGAGAGCCCGGAAACATGTTTCAAAAGGTTCGGACCAGGAGGAAGAAGCACCAGACCTCGAACCCTTTGAATATCACTCCGGCAATGAGGGGGGGTTGGATCTCAAGGTCTGGAGTCTCGAGGACACCGAAGACGATTCTGAGTTGTATACTCCTCCGAGCAAGTTCTCCAGAGCAAATTAAGCATCCCCGTGCCGGAATTTTTATCATCGGCCGGCAAAAAGTAAAAATAAAATATAAAATAAAACAAAAATAAAAAAAATAAAAAAAATAAAAAAATAAAAAAAATAAAAAAATAAAAAAATAAAAAAATAAAAAAATAAAATAAAAAATTTGCGAGAAGTTGTGGATCCGAGTCTGGGAGGAGCGGTGGGACGTCAATGGGTAGTTATGTGACTGACTACTTTTTTAGTAGCTGAATAGTGGTGAGAGGGAGTTTTCGGCAGTGTGGCCCAGACAGAAAGGGGATCGTGAGATGGAAGTTTTGTGAAATAAGCTTCGTGTCAGACAAAAATTTAATAACAATAAAAATAAAAATTTAATAGTGTTGACACTAACAAGTCTGACCGTGAGCGAAACCAAGATATCATTCAAAGGCTGAACTGAACTAGCCGTTTAGTTTATAAATTATTATGGCTAAAACAGATCAAATTTTCTTAACCCGCGGATATAATGCTTTAAGGGCTTCGAGTATAGTATCATAAAATATGACTCGGCACTGTGACCCTAAGATTAGTAAGTATTCTGTTTCACTATTCTTGGCGGCTGTTATCGGTTCCGCTGTTGTTATGTTATGAGTACATCTTAGGAAATGATGGTTTTTAGAAATACCTATAACATAGATACTTAAGGGTTGACTGCCATGACCTTTATACAGTCCTTAAGCAAAAGTGTTTATGAATCTTTTTGGTCAAATGCCTTACATTTTTTTCATAAACACCTTTTTGCCTTAGAAATATACTAGGAAAAACATGCTACTAATGAAATATAAAAAACATGGAAATTCCCCCCAATACCACAATCTCCTTTTAGGTTCGAGTTAATATTACGATATCACACCCCCAAAGGAAATTACTAGGAATCATTACAGCAATGTATGACCTTGGAAACCAAAACCACTATCCGACAAAACTAACATTTCTCCTCCTTATTATCTTTAACTTATGTCAATTCGGTTATGATGGCAAAACTCATACTTACCTTATCCAAATAGATAATAAGCATCCTCATAGCCCAAAATCGGTAACATAAATACCAATATAAACGACTCTTATCAGTCTGCAAAATGGTGAGAACACCCGCCGAACTTGAACGTCATCGCAAAGGGCAAACGACTCAAATGATCCTTATTCCAAATTATCAAAACGACCAATGCACATACTTGTTATCATACAGCAGTGCCAAATTACCAATACTACAAGATTTAAACAACCTCGTTCCAAATAACTATTAGTACAGTTACTCTATGAAATAGTTAGTTATATTATAAAGTGTAGTGAGCTTGAGCGTAAAAATAACTGCTGGCTACTGTGCTATGGTATCACGAACCCTCTACATTCAGTGGCGGTCAAAAGGCAAATTCCTACAATCCAGATAATATCTCAGGACCGATCACTCATCACACCACCCTTTAGCAGCCGGTATGCAACAAGAACCGTATAATTTTCCAGAGAGATAAACTCGATTTGAAACATCCAGGTAATTTTCAATTTTCCAAAGTTGAAATTAACTTACAGAGAGCCCGTAGATAATAATGAAAACAACACTCCAAGATTTGGCATAAAAGGGAAGGAAAACAGACAATGAAAACACATATCTCCTGTACAATTATCCCCCACTCTCGCCGCTATACCAAACCTTTTTTATCGGTCGCCTTGAAGAAAGTGAATTGAAGAAAACCCATAATAAGCAAATCCGTCCCCTCCCAGTGCCATACTAAGCAGCTATGATAGCCGCTAAAAAAAAGAAACAAAGAAATATAAATCAAGTCAAATAACCTCCCCGCTAATGTCTGATCTATCTCCCAAATGAAATACGGATAACGATATCCAGAGAGAAATAAGAACGAGAAAAGGAAAAGGAACTGCAAACCGAACAGAAATCTATCAAATGTAAATAAGGTCTAGCCTTATCTAACCAGCTAGCGAGATCAGGTTATCGTAGCCCCGCAAAACACCTGGCTCAGTCTCGAATAAGAACTGCACAAGCTCAATAAGCTCTTTGCGGGTTTCAGGTGTCAATTGCTCTTCCGGCGGAGAAAGCACGGCGGCGATTATTGGGACAAACTGTTGCGTCATCCCAAAAGCGATTTGATTGGAGTTTTTGTCTAAGGAGATATTAATACCACGAGAGACGAGTGATTAAAGGTACACTGGGGTAACCAACAAAGTTGAACAAGCATTTTATAAATTGGCTCGTTCTCTTCATAATCTTCCTTAAGCGGCAGAAGACCTGCAAGGGCAGGGAGGACGTCGCCAAGTGGAACACTATCGGGATGTGCCATTATCATTCTAGAAATACAGCCACAGGCATTATCCAGCATCCGGTGGTTCTGCACTTGCAAAAAGGGCTCTAGCTTATGGAGAATGGCTCCATAATTACCGGTGACCTCTTGCACTGCTTGAGACTTGATGCAAAGCATGCCTACAGCATACGCAGCATTCGACTTCGTCTCTTGATCCTCGTCTGACAATCGGTGGAGGAGAGATTTCATTAATTGCTGGAACAAGTCAGCAAAAGGCCAAAAGAAATACCCAAATAATAAATGAGTCCAATAAACTCTATATTGAGAAACTTACTGATGTGTAAGGTGTGCATCCCTCCTCCATATATTTGATACAATCGGCAATAACACCCACACTTGTCGAACGCTCTACCGCCTCCGAGGATGAAGCGTACTTCAGAAGTAAAGTCCCAACTAATTTCCAAATTTCACCAAACTGAGTTCCCAGAGCTTTAGAAAGGCCGAGAGCTACATCCATTGCGCTGTCAACCAGAATCCAATCATATTCGGAAGATTCATACAGCTCAGGAAGCACTTCGTCTTCTTCGTCGAGCTGGGACGGATGTTGTTTCTTCAAGATGAGAACAAGCTGATGTGAAAGCTCGAGTATAATGGCCCCGGTAGTATCCACTAAAAAGGCGGGGCCGCAAAGAGAAAGTGTCTCCGCGACGTTTACACAGATATCCGTTACAGTAGCCCTAGTCATACAAAAGACAGTGTTAGAATAAACTCTTAAAAAGCCAGTGACTCACGACTCTTGAAAAGAAAAAAACAAGTCAAAAGTAGATTTGGGTTCGCAGCATGTGCTATTTGAGCATCTGAGTAAGTTGGGCATAGCTAAGTGTAGTCATCATTCCGCAAGAGGGATAAGTGAGATGGAAAGATGAGATGACCAGAATCAAAAACTTCAAAGCATTGAATCATGACTTGCCTATCAGTTTCAATGCTCCAATTGGCCAATGTGCAATTGATCACAAGGTTGCCAAGACGCACTAACTCCGGTGACGGCTGGATCTTCAATGGCAACCCAGGAAGCCACTTCGGCATTCCCTTATCTTGCATCACTTGCCAAAGGGTAGCATAAGCCCTCCAAAGCGTGCTGATACTTGCCTTCCGGACGCCTTCGTAGGGATGTTGAGCTTTCAAGGCCAATAATTCAACAGTCTTCTCTAAATACTGGAGATAACCTTCCTTGCAATGGCCAAGAACCTCCCCGATAACCTCGGCGGCAACTTCCTTCTCAAGAGCAACTGCGTTCACAGCGTTCAATTCATCCCACAAAGCGTCATCGTCTTCGTCATCCGCATCAATGTTTGGCGGCTGTATCTCGGCTTGGATATCCTCGTCCAGAGAGACCTTCTGAGTACCCACAGCACCAACGCTTGTGATTATAACATCTTTTGTGAGTTCACCGACTTCCACATCAATATCAGTTTCCGTTTGTTCCAGGCTCTGGAATAGAGCTTGGGTAACATTTGGGAGGAAAGGCGTGAATTCTTCCCTGTAAACCCTAGCCATAATGGAAAAGAACATAAAACTAGTTTCTCGTAAACGAGGATGACCTAGATTGAGAGCATCCATAGCAGATTGCATCAAAGGTTGAACGTAGGGTGTAAAGGCTTGCATTCCAACAGCTTCCGCAATATTCCCCATAGCATCAACGACAACGCCTCTCAGGTCTAGTTCATCTTCGGAATCCTTCACCAAAATGTATGGGAACAGAGCACCCATGGCCGCCTGGAAGTAAGGAGAAAAACTGTCCTTGGCTGCATGAGCGGTAGAACCAATCCCCCCCACAGCAGCAGCCTTCAGCTTCAAATCATCTCTCTGGAACATCTCGGATAATCTTGGCATGAGGGTAGGAAGATAGGCCTCAACATCTTTCTTGTCAATTCCAACGAGTACAGCGTCGATTGCGTTACATGCTGCCTTCCAAGCGTCCGACCCATCACGGGAATCTAGTAATCTGATAAGTGCGGGTATCAAACGCGAGTGCTCCTTCCCCATATCCTCCGCGAGATCGTCCGCCAATTGTGCAACCGTGTGCAATGCCGCTTGTCTGACTCGAGCCTCGGGATCGGATAAAAGCTGAAGGACAACGGGGAAGATTGAGCTAATCTGGGTGGCAATGAAATCGGGAGCACCCTCTACACACATTCCCAAGGCCAGGACTGCCGCCTTTCTATACTCTGGATCCTGGCTCCCAGTATACTGGGGAAGTATATTAAGCAACGGCACTACCACCTGACTTGGCGGAAGGGAGGCAGAAAGGTAGTCTAGGAGTCCCAATGCAGACCTCGCAGGAGTCGTCTCGTCGGTATCTTCCAGATCCTTAAATTCCGTCACAATCTGAAGGGCGCGTAGGGTGAGCTGCTCGCCGAATTTCAAAGATTGCATCTTCATCTTCTTGTAACGCAAGCAAGACATAAGGAAAGACATAGCTTTTGAGCGGAAATCGTCATCCACATTAGTTGAAGAAGCCAAATCTGAGAAGAACTGGACCAGGTCACGGAAATGGCTTGAAATAAGTGTTGAGTCGACAATCAGCAAAGTTTGGAATACCTCGAAGGCTGAATTGGCTTTCTCTTCGTCTGCCACGTCAATGAGTTCTTTCAACACCCCAACCATTGAAGGAAGGACTTCTTTGAACGCAGCAACACCATCAGGATGCTTCTCGGAGTTGAGGGACTCGGCCATCTTTCCAAGAGCCAGTAAGGTATTCAAGCGGACAGCCATGCTTCCCTGGTCGTTGATCGTCTGAGAAAAAAGGGGCAAGAATTCATGCCATTTGTCTGCAACCGCTTCCTCCAGGGACTCAATCAGGGTGAACAGTATATAGACACCAACTTCACGGTTTTCTGCCCTGCCGGAAGAGGCTGCTTGTACCAAGAATCCTGGAAGATCCGTCCACTCACCGGCTGGCAAGTCAATCTTAGCCATGGAAGATATAACACGAGCGGAAGAGTGTTTGACCAAAGAGTTTGTTTCTTCAATTGTGGACTGAAGAATTGACTCTCGTAGTTGGGGTTTGAGTTCCGCTGGAATGTGTGAAAGGTCATTGCCCCTCGCTACCCAAAATTTAGGCACAAGGTTCCTAGCCTCTACAGCTGCGAGTTGACGGATTTGAGCATTTGGGTGAGTCCGCAAGAGGTGGAGAAGAGTGGACAGGGATTCCGGTTTTGAATAGTAGTCACGACGGAGAGTCCCTGTAGCATGCTTGACGATATTGGTATCCGCTACACAAACAAAGCAAACAATTCAGTATAGAACAGTTAACAAGATGTATAGAAAGGAGAAGATCCAAACGCACGAGTAAGGACATGCTCTAAGAGCTGAATGAAACTATGTTCATCCATCCTTGCTATGGTTGATCCTTATCCGGGGGAAAAGGGGGAGCCGTGCACGCCGTTCCAGTAAAGCAACGATTAGTTGTTAACTTGTTCAAGTTCTTGAGAAACGGCCCAATGCCGTGAGTATTTGTCTTTCTGAAGCCCTAATAACGGAGTGAAGATAGGAATCAAAATTTATGACTTTTTTGAAGCGAGGAAGTTGTGGGTAGTTGTGTGTAGAAAGCCTGGAAGGGCCGTTTCTCTTTTGTAGGTAGCAGTAAATGAACCGTTTAAGGGGAAAAAAATAGAATGTGAAAAAAAAAGGGACTACCGCACAACTGCACCAAACTGGACCTGAGCCAGCAACTGCACTGTGACCCCCCCCCCAAGCAAACTAGAACCCACAACCAGCTGTACAAAAGTTTTTTTTTCGGGGGGGGGCAAGCCAGAACCCAGTTCCCTCCTGGATTACCAGCCAGCCAGTCGCAGGAGGACGCTGTAACTGTCAGAGATGGATCCGGATCGAGTATGAATTTTGGAAGTGCCCTCTGCTTCTGCAGCGCATACCCTATGCGTCCTTCTCGATCAGAAACCGATGCTTTATTGCGATTCCATGAATGCTTCCCTGTCATTTTTCCGTGATGTGGTGGGGGATATGCATACGAATGGAGGGGTAGGTTACTGGTAGCAGAGCGGGGGGATAAGTAGCCGCAAAGGTGTAAGCGTTGGAGGGGCTCAAAAAATCTTGTTAGTCTATCACCCATTTCATCGCGTCTCCCGCAACGCGTGTATCGGTGTTTGCCGCAGCGATCGACTACTCGTGCAGGTCCTGGATTTTGCTACTCACCGTCTTTGTAATATCTCATTATCTTCATCCATTATCCTATCCCCCATTTTCCCTTATAGGCTTCGCAAACATGCCACCATAGCTGCCGCTACTGCTACCACTCTTCCCAAACCCCAACACACCCCTCTTCCTACAGATCCCATCTTTTTCATGGAAAAACTCCTTCCGATAGTCACTCCAAAGAAAGAAATTAAAAATTTGGGAAAAAAATATTACATACAAAAAAAAGCTCCATCTCTCATTATAATATTATTATATCCAAACATTATGATATAATAATTATAGCACAAGACCTAAAGTGATATCTCCAGCTCAAACCCTTCGTGGCCCTCCCTCAGTCTATCAATTGACCCACAACCCCTAAGAGAATAGCTATCACCATCGCCATATCATCAACCTTCAATTGCCGAACCTAATAAGGTTTCTTCCTCAAATTTCGATCCCTCGCTTGAGGATCGACAGACAGGAAAAAAAAAACCCCTTTTATCAAATTTTTACAGGTCCATCCCCACTGTCGGTGGGCGTAAAAAAAAAAAACACTCTTCACATCCACTTTTACAGACCTTTATAGAGTAGGGAAGAAAAAGGCTTCGTCTCCCACTGGCTCCCAAAGCAGATTCATCACAGAGCAAGACAACGTGTACCCCCCACCCCCTTCTATTACCTGTACCCACTTTGCTAACCCCTTGGAGGCATTGGAATGTGCCCGTCGTTACTCCCCTTTGAAGCGTGTCATCCCTAGTATAGCTAACGCCAAATAATCATCCTCCCGTGAGGGGCCAGTTTCCCCGACCAAGCATTTCCCCCTGATAAAGCTCACACATTGAAATAAGACTATTTGGACACCCCCTTTAGGATCTATTACCGCCGCCGCCGGAAACCTGGCGGCTGGGTATCCGCAACAACCTTCCTTCATCCGACCCGAGATGTTTGCTATTGCTAGGATGAAAGAGACTTCAAGATCAGGTGATTACCTAGAATTAAGTTCGGATGGGGACCCGTTCGAGATGCATCCGAAGGCAGATATGGTACCCTGGATTAGCGGTGGGTTCCTAGAACACCGGCACATATACAACGAGTCTTCGTGGGCGACTTCCATTTGCTACAACGAATATCGATACAGATCTCATTTTCGGGACAACCAACGTCATTGAGGGTACACTGGCCGAATACAGCAGCGTGACTGATGAATTTGGTGTTTCGCTAAAAGAGACCACTGGAGGTGATATATGATACTTCGAATCTAGTTCGGTTCCCCTCCTCCACAGATCTCTCTTGCGAATACCAAGTTTTTGGAAAGGTTAACGAATTCAGAAAATCAACTGATCCTTGAAATCCCGTATCAGCAGGACCAAATCTGGTTATCGGCATAGCCTCATTGTTATATCATGAGTCTGCTCCGGAAATCTAGTTTTCTGGTTGATCTTTTTGAAAAGTTCCGTTCAGGGATTTTTGTCCACGAAGCGAGGACTAGACTAGAGCCGAAGCGAGAGCCATCATATCATTTCTAGTACAACCCAATATCTCTCTGCCCAAACATAAGCATCGAAACCGATAGGGAAAGGGAGGCGCACGACAATCAATCGAGAGCATAGTATGTGTTAACATTTTCTCTCCCGACTACCTTCTAACTTTGAAATACCGAGGGACCTGAAATCTTCTCAGTTAAAGCGGGGCGTGCTGGTAGCAGCACCGGATGTCAGGTCTGCGAAACGCTGTCGACACAAATGCACCGATCCCACCTCGTGGCTGCTCAAGGGGTCGCGTGCTGCATGAAGTACATAACTCACAAACTTCCCCTCACGGTCTGACATACCTATTTCAATCGGACGGAATTCTAACTCCCCAAACAAACGATTCGCTTCTCAAGAAAAAAAAAAAAGCTTGGCTACCCATCATACCCGTAACAGAAAGCTCAACACATTTTCCCATATCTCAATAAAAGTGAATCTTTCAACAAGATTTCCTGACAAGGACACGAGTGGACATGCTGCTGCCCCGCAGTCTCGTTGCCAGCTGCCAACTTAGCCAAAATATGATACCTACGTCAATGCCCCACACGCGACACCAGCTCGTGTCGATAAAAGCAATAAGAATCCAATGATGAAGGAACGTACAAACCTTCCAATGGCACTGTCAATAACAAGGTATTTCCTCACCGCAGGAAATTTTTCCCGGCACAGGAAAAAAAGGAATCCACCTTGCACAGTTGAAGCAAGTCCTTTATTCCCCTACGAACACCACAGCCCTTTTTGCATCAAATTTCCAACTCAATCCCCAAGATGGGACACCCACGTAGACTATACCCGTCTCAGACTACCAGAAACCGACTAATAGGAACCTTGAAGCCTTTGCCCGCTGGAGGAATCAAGATGGGACAGTAGTCGATGCCAGCCTTCGGAACCCCTCTACAAGCCATAGTCCCAAATCATTCCGCTTCGTGGTTCCTTCCGTGGGAGGAGCCTTGTGGGATATTGGCGAAAGGAGCTGTTTCTCTCACGTAGCAGCTAGTGCCCCTGGAAGAAAACCACAGCAGAGACTTCCCCCTACTTCTTACTTTCTCATTTCCGCTTTTCGATGTCGGTCCACGACCCTCCTCCAAGGCACGACGCGGCTTGCGCTATCTGGCCCAAAAGTTTCGGCTGCGCTGCAGCATAGTTTTGTGGGATGTGTTATACACACCACCTCCGCAGGTAGCCCCTGAAGCCGCGACGATGGTTCAAATTCCGGCTACAGACGACATGAGCAAGCCCGGTAATATATCTACGATAAACCCCCCTTTTAGCGTGGCAGGAGTGACATGGCGACCTATTCGTCAGTTTGTTCCTGTGGGAAGAAATTTGTCCTGCTAACTTGAAACCGCCCTATCTTCCCACGTTTTTCCAACCGGAAAAAAGCTGCTGACATTGATTGAAAACACGGTTCAGCCGTGCGGGAGCCCCCGGGACTTCCGCCAAAACCCCCTCCAATTCCTTACGTCCATTTCTGGGCCGCATGGCTGCCCCAATAGCCGTCGACGATCTTAATGCCCCCCCTCGTAAGACAGGGATTTCATCAAAAGTATCGGTAATGGCCCTAGAAATGTCACCATACAGGTACTGTACGGTAGGTACGTTCGTCCCATCTCATCTACCATTCCATAAACAGAACTTTCTTTCCTTTTTTCCTTGGCCATCGCCGTTCTCCAATCGACTCAAAAGAAAAGAGAGGAAAAAAAGAGTGGTGTGTAGCCACAAAGATCTTCCCGCTGCATTCACTAAAAAAACAAAAGGTTGTCCCAGGCTCTTTAAGTTAGATAGATTCGCTGAATGATTCCCCTGTCGTTCAATCTCTGCTGTCTCTTTCTCGGAGCGCAGTAGAAATTCGAATAATTGGGCCAAGTGTTATGTCGACGTTAGAGTTGCCTCCTCTGCCACAGTACGGTTTTTTTCTTTTTTTTTTTCTTTTTGTCTCCCAGTGGGGGGGCCAAGCAGCTCATCTTTTGCTGCCTTTTTTCGCCCTTTTCCAGAGTAGGGAATTTTCGACTACACAGCACATGGTCCAATCATTCGAGTTTCTGCGGTAACCAACTCAAAGCGAGCCGCCCGGGCAGATTCGATACTGTACTAGTACTGTACTCGTACAGTACAGTACCGTGCTCGAGTACGGCACATGGAGGCACGACGCAGCGTGAATTGCGCAATTCACTTACCGCAGCTCACCCAAGACAGATCAGGAGTGCAGAAAGAGAAGGGAAAAAAAGAAAGGCAACAACAAATCGTCATGTATGTCGAGTAGACTACCAATATTTCAAATACGTCCGGCCATCCGTCTCCCTAACAGGCATGGCACGAACCATATTAGTACGACCCTGTACTGTACCGGTATAAGTGACCCTGGATTTATATAACCCACTACCCGGTAAGGCTTTATATCCCCCGCCCCCCCCTCGCTGACCTCCCGAACTGTAGGCTTTTCAATCAAAGTTATGGTATCATACCGCAGGTGCTGTATAGTACAGTACAGTGCACTGCGAGCGAATGTATTAATAGATTTACTAATATCACCGGTACCGCACGTAAATAGTTTCGAACGGGCCCAGACCGGAGCGGGCTTACATATTATACGTACCGTACTCGAGTAGACCACAGTGCTCACGCATGCTCACACAAATGTCATGCGCGTAAAATTCAGTGCTCGATACGGCAAGTGAAAAGGTTGCAGTGATAAGGAAGGAATGCAGATCAAGCCGGCAGAGTCGAACAAGTGTTACAGACGGGTATGATAATTAATTACAGCAGTTCGTGGTGGCACTGTATATATAATAATAATTATTATGATATATATATTTGGTTGATGGTCAAAAAGTGTTTTTGATATCGGGGGGGGAGGGGGCTTTTTCTTTTCCCTAATCTCTTGCGATTACCCGGGGATGTGAGAAGGCTCCGCACGATGGCGGTGATGGCGATGGTGGGAATTGTAGATATGGATACAGGTGTTTTGCCAATTCACATGCAGTGGAAATGTTGTGCATACATGTACTAGAGTACAGTACTGAATTCTAACTATATAAGTGATCGCCAAGCCTTTGAGGCAAATTTGGAGGGAGTATCATACCCGTAGAGTTGAGTTGCAAGATAGATATATTGCCTTCGCTATTGGGGGCAAGAAAAAAAAAATCCCCAACAATTCTAATCTATCATAGGCAGAGCTTATCTCATCTGGTCCTGCAAAAAATGCCGGTATGATAATATTATTATGATGGTATACGGTACGATTTTGTCCTACTATGATAATTATTATACAGACGCTATGATATTATATCGAAATCTTTGTTGTTAAAACCCAATTCCCGCCAACACATATTATTATTATTATTATTACCCGAGCCCTAGTTTCCCCATTTTTTTACCCGCCTTTTTGCTCACTCGCACCACCACCACCAAGAACTTGCGAACCCTACTGTATAACTCGCAAGAGCATAATAAATACCGTACGGTTCCCAGTGTTCCGATATCAATCACAACTCTCCACTTCATTCAGACAAAGGAAAGGACCTTCCGGCGGCAGCAACCCTGTTTTTTTCCTCTCCCTCCTTCCAAAGCTGACAAGGACGGAGGGGGGGTTCCTGGCAAAGCTGTACAGTACTGCACTTGTACCGTTTGAAACACCGCCGGTTGAAGAAGAATCACGAATCAGAGAGAGGCCAGTTCGAGAAAAGAAAATATCTCAGATAATATTAAATTACCCCCTTCTCAACTCGCCAGGGAAATCGCCGTGCAAACGCACGTTCGTTCCCCAGGTTAGACTACCGGTAAATTTAAGTTACCTGTCAGTAAGGATAGTTAGAGTACGGTACTCGAGCACGGTAGGTACGAGTAGTTCTAGAGCGCCACCCTTCCAACTGGCTGGCTGAGAAGGGAACCGACCATCTTGGCGAGCGATCGCCAAGAAATTGGATAAGAAATGTTTCCATCGTATCGTACTCGAGTACCAGATCCTATCTGCCGAGCTGATAAATGATTTACTGTGTGTGTGATATAAACTCAGTGAGCGATGCAACGTCAAAAAACGCAGGAGAAAAAAGAAAAGAAAAAAATATCAATAAGGCCGAACCCACCAACCAAATGTTAGAGTAGCAATATTCGAGTCGCAGTGATTTAAACGCAACCTTCCACCCTCCACCCTCTCCAGACAAATATATGGTTCCGCCTACGAATACGGTACCGGGACAAACACCCTACATGCAGAGGAGAAGAAGACCTGTCGCCAGCAGCAGCAGCGCGAAATTGACTTTGGCCAGTTATGATCGCTGACCGCAACCGCTCTGTACCCTACTATTATCTCTCTATTTCCTTCTAAGCTTATGGGGTATGGAAACCAGAATTGATATGATAAAGCTTTGACCCAATTGTGATCCTTTTGATCAAACAATTTTAAAGGGAAAGGAGAGGAAAAAATCTCACGGAAAAAAAAAAAATGCCAGCAACCTACAACCTTTTTTTCTTCCGCAAATCGACCTGCCCCCCACGCCCAGAGAGAGAGAGTCCAGCACATCTCTCTTCTCAGATTAAAAAAAAAACCCCATTTTATCATCAATCAATCAGGATCCCGGAATAACATCTTGACATTGCCCATACGAGGATGACGAAAAATTTCCCGGGATTATTGCCAGTACCTCGACCAATCCGAGGGGGGCTTCTCTCCCCCTTCATACAAACCCTTCCTCCAGATCGCCTCGATTCGGGGCACTACCACCACTACCCCCAACGCAAAAGGCACGTTGTATAACCGGCTCCTCTCGGTAGGGATTACATATCGACCGTCAACGAATGTCGCATGGGCAATCTCTCCGGATTGTGCTCGGTGGCCTAGAGATCTACCACCCCGCATCCCCCCCCCCCGCCATCATACGCGAAGTATATGAAAGAGGCCCGTGAGAAAGTTTCCCCATCGCGCGCTCTCCGACATGCCCGGCGTGCCGAAAGTGAGGGATTTCACGGAGCATGCTACCGACGTGGCGGGTTTTCAGGAAGGGGGGGATGACAGTATCGGGCGGTGAAAGGAGAACGCGGCAAAAAAAAAAAAAAAAAAAGTGAGTAGGACTGTTCCGAGTTATATTTCCAATAGGCTGAGACATGCAACGCGAGTGACGGGAGATGATATAACCTCTGAAAACTAGTTTTGGCCCGGATTCTTCTTTTTCTAAATTGAAGGTGCTATCGTAGAATGCGCTTCGAAACACACACCCCACCCCCACCTCTCCCGGAGCGCAGACGCGATGGTGGTAGGTATCATGACATGTCAGCAGCGGGAACTGGTTCCATGATAAGTATCATACAGTTCATTGAGAGCGTTCCCTACCCAAGCACTACCATGACCAATATCACGCATCAACAGAAAAGGAGGGCTCGTGAATGGTAGAGCTCAAGATACTCCACTCTCCCGGGAGCAGGAAGATGGGAAAAAGCGATGTTCTCGAGGTTGATGGAGAGAGGTGGGAGGTCAGAGAACATCAAGCCCTACAATAAACACTCAGGAGAATCAAACCAAACCCACAGGGCAAATTCTATGACGATGACGACGAATTGACGACAAATCGATTGCGCACACCCCACCCCAAGCCGGCGGGCGACTAGTGTGATAGCAATCAAGACCCGTTCGTCATCCCCCCCCACCACCACCACAATCACCAGTAATCACTCCACGCCCCCACAGCTCATGGGAACAGCAAACACAGCAACATCACCCAACACAACGAATATGATAACGACAAGAATAAGAAACACAAGTCTAATCACCAGCGATAGCGTCTCACTTCAGCACCTCCATTAATTCACAACTCTATTTTTTATAAAATAACCCAGCACACAGCCGCCATCGCCGCAAGGGCTACAGTAACTATCAGTATGATACAGCAAAAAAGCGGCGGGAAACCCCCGAACCAGCTCGTCGAACATTTATCAAACGCCCTAGCTAACTCATACCGGAGGAGGACAGCAATCTTTACTAAACTTCACCCACCCACGTTACACAAGCGCTCAGAATAAACTACTGTCCACACCCGACAAAGGTGTATTGCAAGATGGGGGGCGGTGGGGTTATCAATACACCTATATCCCCCCGACCAAAAAAAAAAAAACTCCAGCAGGATATTCCACCTCATGGGATATCACTCGCTATGCTTGGTTTGGTGCTCGAGAACTCCTGCCGTGAGGACAGGAAGTTAAGGCCAACGCTCAAGTTTCTCTCCATGTAGGCTTCCGCGCGTTTACTGGCGGCGTAGGAGGATTATGTCGGGCTTCGGGAGTTCCAATTAGTCGTAATGTTACATGTGGGTGGTATCGTACGCATAAGGCTCCCAGGAAGGGGGAATACAAGCGACTAGGTAGGTAGTAACCAATCTGATATACACTCCTATGTACAATCTACCTTTCGCCGCCCCATCCATTAACAGAAGGAAACATCGAATAAAATTGATGAAAAATTTGAGAAATCCCGCCAAGGACAGATAAAAACACTAGTCAGACAAGGATAGAGAGAGAGAGGAGAACGAACCCCCAACCAACCGACAAACCAGGCAAACAGACATAGCAACAAAAAAAAACACCCCCCATGTCCATATCGAGTATCCAATCCTCCTCAATTCTCTTGGTCATGCTACTACTATCCACTTCCTCGCCGTCGTCATAACCGCATTCTATGCCGGAGAAGAGAAAGAAAAAAAAGAGGAAATAAAAGGAAAAAGTCTCCCAAGTATAAAACGGTTTTTTTTATCGAAAATAATAATAAAGGAATCAAGGGCCGGCGAGCGCAAATCCTCCGCGCGCAATGTAAAGGTAACGGCAGCAGAAGTGATAAGATAACAGCAGGACAATTGGAGAGGGGGAAGAAAAGACGAAACAACTAGTAGCACGACCACCCGGCCAACGGATAACGGGAGAAAACAAGAGTGAAAAACAAATCAAGTAAACAAGCAGGGCATCCTAAATAATGATAAGCGCCAAAACGTAAAAACATATATATGTGACTCCATCCAAAAAAGCTCACAGGAAAAAATACTCAAAAACCCAAAAGCGGGGGATTCCATTCGCAATGAGGGAGGGTGAAAAAAAAGGAAAAAAAGAGAGGACCTCTGGATAACCTTAACTCCATCCGGCACCCCTTGAGCCTTCCCCTATACTTCCTGCGCCCCCACCACGACTACCTCTTCGTCGAGCAGAGGATCCGGTTGAGCCGTCCCTGCCGCCTCGCTCCTGGTCCAGGCTTCTACGAGACTGTTGGGCACCTGACATATCGCTCATCGTGAAGAGGAGGTCGTCTTCCTCGCCGTAGGCCCCGGGCTTCGTGTAGCCGAACGCTCGTCCTCCTGACGGGCGGGTTCCCCCCCCCACGGAGCTGGATGCCGACCCAGTAGTGGGAGGAGTTGAACTGCCCCTTCCTCTAGATAGAACCCTTCCGCGAGACGAATGCCCGGGGGACCCAGAGCTTGAATATGCAGTGCCTCTATGAGACGTAGTACGTCGCTGCTGAAACCGGGGAACATCACCTTCGGCCTGTGACGCTCTTATGGGGCCGAACGCAGGAGCGTCATCCCTGTCGTTATCCTCGCGCGCTTCAGGCCCGGATTCCGAAGTCCCGGGCAAATTAGTCGCAGATGCGTTCTGAAGGTCCAAAAGGCGGCTCATACTTAGCGGAGCCGTGTCAATACTACCGAGACTAGCGCTCTGCCGCATTTCCGGGCCATAGGGAACTAGTGGATCAAAACCAAGGGAATCACTATCAAGGCGCTGTTGCTGTTGAGACACGGAATTTGACCGACGCGGACCAAAAGGACGAGGAGAGGATGGTATGTCAAGGGGAGATGTAGTAGCAGCGGTTGTCAGGCGAGAACTACTACTCGCCCTAGAGCTCGGGGTGCGCTCAGGCCTGTCTCCACTGCCCAACGATATCCTCCCTGAATGGCCCTGTTGATCGCCGTGCCGCGATGCATGCTGCGCAGTCAGCCCCGCACTCAACCTAGAAGGGATAGCGGGCGTATGAGGGGTATGCGGAGAGATAGGCTTTCCAGGTAAAGAGGAAGACGAAAACTCAGTCGAAGGCATCATTGCAGGAACATTGGACAAATGTCTGCTCGATGTCGAGGGAGAGGGCGAAGATGGCTGAAGAAGGAGGGATGATGATATGGAGTCCGCCATACTTATGTGCGAATCTCTCATCTTCTGATACTTTGATAATGCATTTCCAGTCCGTTTACTCGAAGCTTCCCCTGAAGAGTTTCCAAAACTCTTCAATGTTTGATTTTGGCCATTGGCCAATAACCTCATAAAATCTCGTATTTGCAGATCCTCATTGGAATTGGCTCCAGTGTCGGCGTAGAGACCGGACCCAGGAGCGGCCGACGAGGAATAGCTAGCCTTTCCACTGCTATTATTATCATCGTCCGTGCGACTGGCACCTGAAGCAATACGTGGCCGACGCGAACCAAAGCTACTTGTAATTCGAGTCATAGGCTGTGCAGCTAACGGAGAAGGCCCAGCATTCGAAATTGGAATAGCATGCTGGGCAGATATCGGCTCAAAACTTGGCGGCGGCATTTTACCGGACGATGGGGGCATAGCTCCGAGGCTTGGCCGTTGTCGATGAAGGGGAGCTACAGGAGCTGATACCCGATTTAGGGAAGTCCTCGGTGATGATGCTACCTGTTCAGAGTTCGCCGGTGAAGCTGATAACGAAGGAGACTTGAACGGCTGCATAAACGACACGGAAGATCGACGCTGTGCACCACCCCCATCCACGCTCCTGAGAGACGCTTTCGATCCGTGCATTGACCGCAAGCCGGTTGTAGGTCGTTCAATAGGCGAACCAGTAGGGGATGCCCTATCAGCCATTTCTGCAGCAGATCGTAGGGCAGACAACGGGCTCGCCCCAATCGGATTGGTACCCTGTTGGTGAAACGATGACAAACTCCCGTAAGTCTGGTTGAACTCGGACCTCGGAGGTTGATTCATACCAGCAGATGGCAGCGAGCTCATTTCTCTTCTGGAAGGCTGGGAGGGGTTTCTTGGGGCAGGCGGCGGCCGGAAGAAGTGTTCATCCAAGTTCAAGAACTGGGAGCTCAGCAAGGCTTCTGAGTCATCCACCCTAAAATCGCAGTTTTGTCGATAAGAAACGCGAACTTTGATAGAACCTGCCGGACTGTCCACTTTCTCAATCTGATACGTCTCAACAACGTTGCCCTCGCCTTGACACAACGGCACATACAAAAGATCAAAATCCTTCGGGGTGTGTGAATAGTCATTCCCATTGATGACTCGACAATTAACCTTCAGCGGGCTCGGGTTGAGCTTGGATCTCAACAACCGCCGACGAAATTTCCAAGTAGGCATAAGCCCGGCATATGTATACAATGCACGAAACATTACTATACCTTTCTTATAAACAACGGGGAGCTCTGGAGCAAGCGCGACGTCAAACGGAGCACTGATCCAAACCATATAATTAGCCGAAACTCTTCAAAAAATGTAGACAAAAAAAGAAAAAGCCAATCACAGAAGCTTGGATGAGGAAATTAAAAATACAAAGAGCGAACTAAATGCGGAGGGGGCGGGAACCCGGAGGACTGTCATGGGGATAGGAAAGGAGATTAAGCTTACCCCAATTCTACTGTCCACCTTTCCAATATTACTTCGTGTCTAGCGGGCCCCCCGCGCACACTTCTTCGGGGTTCCGCATTCAATCCAGCTCGGGCCGCGGCCGCGTCCGTGGCCTCGTCCACATTCCATTTCTTTCCATCGGCATCTAAAATCACCAAGGATTGGTTCGCTGTCAGATCTCTGGTATCGAGATAAGTCTCAATAATTAACGGTGGAGGTCGCGGTTCGAACGAGTCTCCATACCGCCACAAATCCAACTCCCTTCGAAAGGCATCCGTCTCGTCAAGCTCGATATTGAACTACACAATTGGGCAAGGAGCAAGGAATCAGTAACCAATGCTCGGGGACCAGGAGGGAAGAAAAAAAGAACAATACGAGAAGGGCAGCCAGCGTACCCATTTGTTAACCTTCTTAACACCAGTCTTCGACGTCAATGGTCTAGTCTGCGCTCGTGTCTGTATGATGATCATTGCAGCTTTCGTGAAGAAAGCCCGTATGATCTGGTTTACCTTATCTCTATTCGTTCTCTCACCACCGCCATTATTTCCCGCACTAGCTCCCGATGCACCAGATGAGTAACCCCCATGCGATGCTCCCCGTGAATGTCCTCCCCCGGGTGGAACATTTGTAAAACCCCCAGAACCAGAAGAAGTGCTCGAACCGTCCATCCCAGCATAGTTGAAGCCCGTAGAAAACCTCCTCGTCTGTTCAATCTCGCCTCCTGCCAAACCTCCGGCAGGCGTCCGCCGCCGCGGTGAATCCCAGGGGAGCTGTGGTGAGTCTCGTCCGTACATTATTTAGGCTATAGGTGAGCGAGAGATAGGACGAAAAGGTAGAGGTGGTGATTCGCAGGTGGAGGGTGGGATCTTGCTTTGGAGAAAATATGGAGGGTGGGCGGAGCTTATGCTACTAGGCAAAAATGTCAAAGTTGGTTATGAAAATGTCCAAGTCCGCGATAGCCATCACATTTATCTAATCCACTGTGAACCCCTGAGTTATTACGTTCCCTCTTTCTCTCTCTCGTCCCCCCTTGCACCCTATGCTATCCCCCTACGCCACGTAGTTCCTTGTATGTTTTTGTAAGTCGTTGAAACCCGTGGTTGGCTCGTTTCCGCTCTGACGGGATGCGAGTTTTACAAGGCCGTGCCTCGTGGGGGTGAGTGACCGAGGGAGCCTCTCAATCGTGGGGTGGCTCGCGCGAGCTCGAAACGGGCAGTTAGCCAGGAAGGGAGTGTCACTGGTCGATGCAAACTACTTTGTCAAGGGTGTCAATAAGCGAATTACTCTACGGGCGAGCCAGCGCCGCAAAAGGCCTCGATAAGCTGTGAGGGGAAAACAGAACAGGGAGAGGGTGGAGGTGAGGGTGGAAGGGTTGGAAAGGTTTGGAGGTGGCGGTGATGGAAGAGGTGTGGGTGTGGGTGTGAAGGATGATTAAACGGCTACAATGACTTCCTTAGCTGAGCCAGATGACACCGGGGCGCTGCCTGTGAAACAAGAGGAAGGCTTTGGGTGGAGGTGAACGGCATACCTTGGCCAAGCTGAAGAGGAACGAAAATCGAAGAAGCACAAAAAGGAAGGAAGCAGGATAGACCAGGGCGGTGGTGGTAGCGGATGGGGAAGGGAGGGAGGGGGGGGATGTGGGCAGGGCAAAGAGGATACGAGGGGAAGGGAAGGGGAAGGGGAAGGGGAAGGAGGAGGAGAAGAAGAAGAAGGAGAAGGAGAAGGAAGCACTGATGGCTGAAGAAGTGACAGTCAAGAGTCCCCCAAGGGAGGAGCGAGAGTAGCAGGGATTGGGGGAAAGTTGGATCAGGAACAACGGGGACAAGTGGTGACTAAGTGAGAGGGTATGTAGTTATCGTTGTCAAGGACAAACAATAGACAACTACCGGTAGGCAAAGAAAAGAACCAAATAGATATTCCACCGCCGTAGTTGGACAGGAAAGCAGAAGGTCTCACGGGCTCCCTACCGACCAAGCAGCCAGTAGCAAAATCAACCAACCAATCAACCAATCAGTCGGAGGGGAGAGCATGTACGAGTACTGGAGTACTCGTACAGGTACTTTATCAGTGCATCCAAGTTCGTGGTTCCAAAAAAAAAGTCAATGATCCCTGTCCCCCATACCTGGTCCAGTGACGATGAGTGAAAATCACAGCGAATGGATAACAGACCGCCCACCGCTGCTTGTCTCTGCTGTCGTGCAGAAGACGGACTACAACAACGATAGTGGTGTAGGGGGGAAAGAAGGAAGCAATGGAGGGTCGAATAGGCTACAGTTCCGGCACGGTATCATATGTACAGTACTTGTACAATCCGGAGCTGGGAGTGTTCCCCGGAAATAGCTACAGTATCAAAGCCATGTCAAGGCGATTCTGACCTGTCCGACTGATTGCACCGTTGCGCCGCTTGGTATCGGGGCCCCGATAATGTGGAGAAACAGATATCACACCGATATCATAATCAACCGGACCGCACACCCGTAAATTATCTGCAACCTCTGATCTTCGATCCGCCCAGTTTAGATTGCCCGCGGTACTTTTCTACGTACTGTAGCCACCTGCCTGCCATCCAGCCAGCTCCTCCTGCACTCGAGTACTGTATAGTACAGCATGCCGTGCTAGTCGTATATTCAAGTGCTTGAGCTCTCTCTACATGCTGACACCCTTCTTCATCTCCCATCACATCTCCCACATCTCCCACATCTTCCACAGAACAATCGCTCACCATTTATCCATAGCACGAACGCATGCGCAGGCTACCGGAAGTCCCCTGCAACTCCTACCCACCACCCCTCCTCCCTTCATCACACCAGAGGGCAGCAATCCTCGGAGAAGACGATATACAGGAACAATGCATAGATACAAACCGTACATACGGCAAAAGGGCCATGACTCAAATAAAGACCCGGGGAAACGTAACGCGCGCGCATCCTCTCTCCCTCCCTTCTCTTTCTCGCGGGTACAAGATAGTACCGGTACCGGTACGAGTACAAGTACGCCGTACTGCGCTGCGCATCCATCAAACGAACCCGAGAGCTTCTCCCCGTTCATCCATCCATCGCACCAGCACAACCCATCCCCCACTTCTCATTTCTTGGCAAAATACATCACCACCCCAAAAAAAACTCGGACCAGACCAAACCACTCACCAGTCACCCTACCCAGTAAACATTCGAAATGCAAAGGGAAAAAAGAAAGAAAGGAAAAAAAGAGAAGGGAGAGAAATGCGATAAATGTAATAAAGATAAAATGAGGAAGAAGAAGAGAAAAAAAGATGGTGTGAACAAAAAGGAACCTGGTGCACACTCGCAGCCCGCATCTGCAGACGTAACCCAACATCCACACCCAACCCATCTCGCGTGACCCAATAGGTAGTTCGGTGCGAGTCCGCTTAGCTTCTCTGGACTGGAGCTCTTTCACCTCGAGAAAAAACAAACAAACAAACAAAAAAGAACAAATCCTTCTTTCTCCGAACCTTCCTTTCCACCGTTGTCCGTGGTCCGCGATGCATAGGTACGGATGCATTGTACAAGTACGAGTACTTTGTATCGTGACTTATGATGCGATACTGTGTGCAGCGCAGCAGCCACGATTTACAATGAATAAACGGCGGCGTATCATATCATGGAAACTCCCATTGCCCTTCCTTGCACTTGGCTGCGGCGCTACTCACACAACCGGTATCATGCGCCAGGAAGAAGTCAACCTCCACCCTATTCGGTCCATTCACTCATTCAGAGTCACGGCTCACCACATAGACTAAACCCTCCCTCCCAGCAATATACAAGTAACCAAACGAGGAGAGACCGCACCATCACACCTAACGGTGATGTGATACCCCGGTAACACAAGAGACAAAGCTTTCCACGCTACGATGTGACAAGGACCCCATGACGGGCGATAGGAAGGAAGAGAAAAGAGAAAAAGTCCAGCATCGTAAGGACTAATCTGGAGTGTCCTTGCCCGGGGTCCTCATAGCACTGTAGACTATGGTAATATAGCGTGCTCGCAGTTATGTATGACACGATAGCTAAAGAAAGGTTTGACTTATCCCCACTGACGTCTCCATAATCTGGTAACACCATGCGTGTTACAAAAGTAGAACCACTTGATTAGGGTTGCCGAGAATGATAGTCTAGCGGTAAAAGGGGTAGTCTGGTCTAAATAGCGAGGTCCAGCACCTCCCTCGGAGGAGATAGACTACGATATTACGGTACTTGACTTGCCCGGGGAAGGCTGACTCACCCGAGAAAGGCGGTGATTCTCGCCGCGCATTATTCCCGACACCCTATCAAGTGAGTAGTCTACTGCTATGATAGTCCACGATACGGTGCAAAAAAAGTCGAGCCCCCCCCACAGACGAGGTCGCTCCAAGTCACACGCGATTGAAAAAGCAGCTATGAGAACCAGAGTTTTAGAGGCCACTTTCTTTCCTTATCGCGAGGAACCGGGGTGCGTTGCTGTCGGAATACCGCGCTGGCAAACCATGATAGATACTCCCAGTCATCAGTGCCCCACAAGACCTTTCAGTTCCCAATTCCTGGTGCGTCCAGCAGGGGGGGATCCGAAGCACCGCTTTTTCTCTTTCTCCAAAGTGAAGAGCAGAATGTATTGAAACGATCTAGTATAAATCATGCTACGGCGCTTCACGCCTCTCCGCTCATTTGTAATTCCGAAAAACCGTGAAAGAAAAAAAAATAATTAAAAATTGTTCGGTACGATACTGTACTGTACAAAAAGTATGGTACGAAATCCTTTTCAAATATGATATATCCCGGTCGAGAAAGGTCCACGGATCACTCAAAAATTATTAAAAAAAAAAAAAAAGGAAACGCCATGCCAGGTCATTCATTTCCTGCGCAAAAAGTGGGTGAGAAAAAACGTGCCAAGACCGATGTATTGGGCTGGGTTTTGCTGAGTTCTAGATAGCAGGACCCACTCTGCAGTAGACCGTTTCACTGGATCAGTTACCGGTACAGTACTCGAGTAGTTAGGAAGTCCTGAATATGACTACTTTGTAATGGAAAACTCCTTAATACGCTACTCATCTTTTTTTTTTTTTTTTTTTTTTTTTTTGACGCCTGCCTCGAATCGTCCTCGTATCATAATTGAACGACGTTTTTCGAAAACAACCGTCATTCAATTACGAGTTACAGCGAGTGCACCACCATCGATTTCAAAAAGGTCGTCCGCCAGCGCCGGACTTTCCCAATGACCTTCTCATTCTTTCCCGCTTTCTCACTTTCGGATGCCGTATGATCTTTTCACACTCTCCAATTTACACTAGTACCATACCTGTATGATACCCAAGGCAAAACCAACGACGGATGAGTAACGAGCAAGGATCAGTGCTAGTATAGTATTATAGACTACCGGTATGGAGGTTCGAAGTTCTCGGAACGTGGAAGGCACAGGTGTTTTCGACAGTGTGTTTCTCGGAACATATGGTGGTTATGGTGCATAATAAAAACCTTTTGGGTAGGAGGAAGGTAAAGGTAATAGGGTAATAATACCATGTCACAAGAGGAACAGTCATTTTATTTCGCACCCCTTGTCCAAACTATGGTACCCTGACTTGTACAAGTACAGTACGAGTACTTTACTGTAACACTAGGCAGAAAGAGAGATGTTAGTGGTAGCTTAGTGCCCACATTCCTATTTCCTGGTCATGGTGATATATTAGCACTTACGAAGAATGGAAAAGCAAGTCAACACATCCGTCCTTGTGGCAAGTTTAAATTATACGCGTACCGCTCGGAGTAATACACCTGTATTTTGTGTTCAATTTGAGGCGTAAATTACCGAGAACTTCGAACCCCGCCCCTACGATGCTCGAGTAGATGATACAAGTATTGTGAAGAATTGTTACCCTACTTGGACCACTCCCCTCGCCACCTGCCACTAAATACTCGAGCACCAGTTACCGGTATCATACTGCATAGTAATCACTCCCTCGCCATCTACCAATTTATCGTGAGCAATTACTGTAAGACTCTGCAGCGAGCGCGAGCACGGTAACCTTAACTTCACAAGACTCAGCCAGTCCCTCAGAACGTTAAACCAACCACAGCCAATCCCCTTAAACAGGAAATCAAGCTTACTTCCCAAACCTTCACACCAGCAGCCAGTAACCACCGCACCCCCCCCACCCCCACCTCCATCCTTCTGACTCCCATTCACGTCTGTACTGTCCTATCCTATCCTTTCCTGTGCCACCCAACCCCCAGCCCCCCCCTCTCCTCCTCCTCCTCCTCCTCCTCACTAATATCAAAACCCTCCACCAACCCATCATACCATACACAAGCACCATCGACTCAGAAGTTTGAAAAAAAGATATATACATAAAAAAAGGGAAAAAAAGGAAAAGGAAAATGAAAACACCACACACGCATGCACACACGCGCAGAAATGATCTGCGCAGGGATAAGAAGAAGAAAAAAAAAAAGGTTGACACCTTGTTGCTGCCTTGTGCGGGTTGGCTTGACAGCCTAGTCTTACAGTAGGTATGTATGACATGATATGCAGAGTACCCCGCTGTTAGGGGGGCGAGTTATGGAGGGGTAAATGGGAGGTGTGGGGGGAGGTGGGGTTTGTGTCAAGTGGAGGGGGGGGAAGGGAGGTACTTTTTCGATATCTATGTGTTCATGAATCTATTGGTACGGCATGGTACGGCATGGTGTGCCTTAACGCGTATCCTATGGTACCGCACTTGCAAGGGGGGAAGAAAGCAGGAAACTACAATACTTGACGATGCTACTAACTTTATAGCTACGAATTGTTTAGCTAACCAAGTTGTTATAGTCTACACCCAAGAACCAAACAAAGAAGTAGAGTAAAGTATGATAAACCCACACACACTACTATATGACAAAAGGCTAACCTATCGACAAGAAGTCATCAGCTCTTCATAGCAAGAAGAGAAAACATAAGGATACACATTGGTGATACGCTCCCGCAGAACCAAACATGCCCCGTCTACCGGTATCCATCTAGACCATCCAGATAATGCAATGCATACCCGAAACAAAAAATAAGCATAAACAAGAAATATCAACCCCCCCCCCCTCCACAACCCAGCTTGTGCCAAAGCAAGTAGCTACAAACACCGTGAGCGAGAGGATATACAAATAATAATGAAAAGAGGAAGAGAAAAGTAGAAGAAAAAACTTTTACAGTCACAAAGGACTGCCGGTACTCGCATAAACTCCCACCTCTATCAGGCCCTTCTGCCTAGCGTATTATCAAACCACCCATCTACCCACTCAACTAATGAAATCACAAAAGCCCGACAAGCTTCTTATTCCTCTTGAGCAACTTCTCCAACTTCTTCTCGATCCCCTCCACCTCCTTCCTTGAGGCATATACAATCTTCTCCAGCTCCTCGACAGAAGCGTCACCAACCTCCTTATCGCACTCGTCAAAATCCAGTGCCTCAACGGTCCACTTTTGCCATGCCTTTCCCCGCCCGTGGCGCTCCTCTAGACGGAGATAGCGCTCCTGCTGCTCGGCGCTGAGGCCCGTCATTTGGAGGCCCGTGGGGGTGACGACGAGACTGATATTCACGACGCCCCCGCCGCGAATTGGGTACTGGTACGGGTGGCAGTCGGGCTCGACCGTTAGGATTGGCTGGCTGTTGTTGTTCTCTATTACGGCGGTTTTGATTAGTTGGATTTCTTCGGACGTTATATAGTGCTCCCATTTCAGGGTTGTGAGGGGTTTAAACATGTCGAGTTTGGAGAATTTCATTTTTGCCGCTTCTTGGAACTCGGCGAGGAGCTGAGCTGTAGTCTTTGCGGATTGCTGCTTTCCATCTTGCTCGACTGCTGGGGTAGTAGGCGTGCTAGGAGCGGGAGCAACAGGAGCTGGGATTGCTGCGGGAGTAGGGGCCGGAGTAGGCACAGGGGCCGGTGTATGGGCTTTAGTAGGAGCTGGAATGCTAGTGGTAGTGATAGGCTCTTTCCCAGGGGAAGGAAGAGATACAGTAGTAGGAGCAACAACTGTCTGGGGGGTAGCAGAGTTGGAAGCCTCCATCTCCTTCTCCTCCTTCTCTTCATCAGCGTAGCCTCCGCCTGCGACGGGATCTCCTCCACCAATCGTGGTATCCTTCTTGCGTCCCTTCTTCTTCATCCTGCCCACTACGGGAGCTTGTGTCACAGATCCTCGCTCAAGCCTCTCGCGTTCCCTCTCTCTCTCCTCAGCTTCCTTCCTCGCCGCTGCAATCCTCTCTTTCTTCAGCGCACTCTTTGTCTTGCCTTTTTTAGAAGAGTGCTGAGAATTAGGCGGGGGACTGACAGGCCTGCTGCTTCCACCATTGGAACCGGTATCGCTCTCGCCAATCCCAACCCCACCTCCAATAGGCGTCCTGATGGCTGGAGAATGGATACTAGAGCTAGAAGACAAGATTCTGATCATCCTTGGACCCTGCTTGACGGCGCTTGCAGCGGTCGGAGGCGCAGGAGATGTTGGGGTCGTCCCCTCACAGGAGACGGTACTGGGCGTCACAATGGCAGGAGAAATAGCACGATGTCCAGAGGAACTTGCAGCAGCGGCAGTAGTATTAACTGAAGGCAAGACTGGCTTTCCCTTAGCTTGTGTAGGGCGAGCATGCTCATCTTTTGCAGCTTCAAGACTTTCGTCCTTTTTCTTCCCAATTGGCCCTGGCGGTAGCTTCTTTGGTTTCAGCGTGCTAGCGATCGGTGGCAATGCTAATGCGTTCTCCTTAGTCGATGGGGCCAGAGCCGGGAATTCGTCTTCATCCACCATCCCAGGAGTAAGCTTTCGTTCTTGGGGAGTTATTCCAGAACCTACGATAAACATCAAGTAGAACCATTTAGCCTCAGCTCATCAAACAAAAGGGAATAAGGAATGTTGGTAGATGGCGGCAGGCATTCCGGAACCGGCCCTGATTTCCATGTGCAAGTCGCCTCGTCTTTTCATTAATCATTCGCACACGAGGCAGGGCAGCAGACTACTCTTTTGACATTAACTCATAAGCATATACAAATCGCCGGGGTGAGTCTAAATACTGCGGCAAAGAAAAAGGGAAAAAAAGCGTCCTAATTGCGCTATTTCGAGCGCAGAGGACAAGCAAAGCGACTTGTAAACAGTACTGATGACAAGACACTCGAGAGGTACAAAACTCATTCGCGCCGGGGATAGCGTGGATTTTTTTAAACTGAATGGAAACCTTCCCCGTTTTGCACTCCCCTAGCTCTTCATCGAAGAATTTGTGCCACAAAAGTAACGTATCCCATGAAATTAGAGCAACCAGATGAGACGTGACAAGGAAACGAAATTTAAATCAAACAGCGGAAACCGGAACAGGATGAAGTAAGAAATACCAATAAGGCCCCCGTTTCCCAACATCAAACGCCTTGACAAAAAATAGAAGTTTGTATCGTTGCCCTACTGCTTGCCCGTTGCCATGTGCGAAGATAATGTAGACATTGGCATAAAATGGAAGCTTGTTGGCTCAGCCCACCCGCCAACCTACCATCTACCGTAGTACTGCATATTATTATACGCACCTTGCTGGCCAGCCTGAATTCCACCTTGGTGATGTTGCATTTGCTGCTGAGGTTGCTGCTGTTGCTGCTGTTGCTGCTGTTGTTGCTGTTGCTGCTGTTGGGCTATTCGAACCTGCAAGATGCTAGGATCCGCTAAGTCTCCCACTGGACTTGGTTTAGCACTCCCCCCTCCCCAATACGAATCAACATGCATACGTTTACCATCCCCGGCTCTTCCGCCCAGCCCAGTATTCCCCAATGCACCAGCTCCATTGCTTCTCATCAATTCTCTAAGAAGGGCATCTGAGCTCTCGGATTTATTATGATGACCGCCAAGTCCCAGTCCTGAGAATTGACTACCAAGACCATGAAGCCCGCCCATAGGAATACCACTCATGCCTGGAGCCGGCGGGGTTGGTGCACTCTTCAACCCTGGAGGCGGTTGCTGCACAGTACCTCCAAGCATACCGCCACTAAGACCTGGCGCGCCACCAGCCCCATAGAACTGTGCGGCAAGCTGCTGTTGGTTGTGCAGCTGTTGCTGCTGCTGCTGCTGAGCCTGTTGCGGCATCATACGGAGTTGTTCGGTCATATGAGCAATGTTCCCACGAGGATTGACAGAGGTAGATGCTACGGCCGGATTGTCATTGGCAAAATTGTATCTAGAAGTTTGTCTGGTATGCAACGATCCACCATGCGTCTGCTGCTGTTGCTGTTGGGGATTACCCATAGCGCCAAAGGGACTGAACGACTGCTGAATTTGTTGCTGTTGCTGCTGCTGCTGCTGTGGATGCAGGATACCGCCAGGAGTGAGCACCCTCATAGCCTGTTGATGTTGAAGGTTTTCTTGCTGCTGGAAAGCTCCAAGAGGCTGCTGTTGAGGATGACTCGCCGCAACTTCCTTAAGCAAATCTCTCTGGGAAGGGGTGTTTCCTCTCCCCGTCAAATTTAGTGGCACCAGCCCGGGGGCGGCCGCCATCGTACCAACGGGGGGCTGTGGTTGTGGTATGTCACTTTCCGCCTCCTCGTGCTGCTGCTGCTGCTGAGCTCTCAGTCGCTCAGCATTCTCCCTCCGACGCCTTCCTCCATGACGGTCAAACATGGGAGGCATCTTCTCCAGATCGGCAATGTCTTCCTCAGTCATACCCTCGGTTGAAAACACAAAGCGGAATTTGGGGTTGGAAACAGCTCGTACGCAGTTTTCGAGACGCTTCAAATGTTCCTGAACCGGAATTGGAAGCTCTGGTGGGCTCGGTTTGGTAGGAGAACGAAGAGCATTAGTCGTAGAATCTTGTACAGATGACGAAGAGGCCTCTGATGTTTGAGTGGGAACTTGATTATTGGTCGCTAGTCCGCCAGGTGGCTTACCAACAGGACCAGGACCCGAATTGCCTCCTGATCCAGTCGAAGCTGGCGCCTTTCCAAGACTTGATCCACTCTTGCCACTTTCTTGGCTCTGGGTCTGTACCATTGGGGCAGCAGGTACACTGCGTGGGCTTGGCGTGGACCCTTTGGATAATATAGCAGAACCTTGCGGTTGTATTACGGGAGCCACAGATCTGGCGGCGGGCGTTGGGGGGTTCTTTGCCCAGTTTGCTGTAGACGGTAATGCAGAAGACTCTCCATTATCGCCAATACTTGACGATCCACCTTGATGTGAACTAACCCGGGCCATCTGCGCACTCTGCTGCTGGGTAGGCGGTGGATGGACTGGATGAGTGGGGGTTGCCGTAGTGATAGGAGGCTGATGCTGAGGCGGGCGCGCCTGAGATGGAGCCCCCTCTTGCTGGCGGACAGTAAAGGTAGACATTTGTTGTCGATCGTAGGAATCCGCTTCTTCTCCGGGCTCATGAAGAAACATACAATTTTTATTTGGACAAGCCTCATTACGGAGATAGGCAGAGCAATACTTCGTTGTCCCGTAAGTAGCTCTGTCCCCCAATTAGCATGTACACGACAAGTAAAAACCAACAACAATCAGAATACCTTAAGGTTCTGTCGCCATTCTGACTACCATCAACAGCGTCAATGCAGACTTCTGCATCCTCCTTTTTCGCAAAAGTAACGTATACCCCGAGACCCTGAGCACCCCCGCTACCTTGATACCCATTGCCGGATCTATCTTGAGCAGTGGTCCTTTTGTTGACCACAATCTTGATAATTTTCCCATATTGCCCAAAATAACTCTTTCCTCTCAGAGTTTGAAGCAGATCCTCCTCAGGTATGCGGGGGTTGAGACCAGTCACATAGACCAAATTTTTTTGAATAACGCGAAGACCAGAAAGGTGTTTACGATTCAGAGCATCAATCTCACGTTTCTGAGCTTCGAGTTTACGTTTCTCATTCTGCTGACGATTCTTCTTGTTTTGGTCGGCTCTCATCCTATATCAAACAAAAAGATTAAAAGTTAGCCCTTTCCATGATAACCATAATTTCTACGAACATTAAACAACCGATAAAGGGTCCATGGGCCAGGGCATCGCAAGGGGAATGAAGTGGGGGGGGGGTGTATTGGGTAACTCACTCTTCGGCAGAGATGCCTTTCCATTCTATGGTTTTCTCATCGTACGGACGCCTGCAAGCGGGACACAGATTATTCAAATTATTCTTTATATTGTTATAGCAGAATTGGCAGATCTAAACCCCGATGTTAGTAACTTCCAGCAGCGGAGCAGGAATGCCGATTAAGAATATAATCTACCTGATAGCCGCAAGGACAGGGCCTGAAATTTCTATCTTGGATGTCAAACTCCTCAACACACAGAGGACTAATTTTGGCGGAAGGTGAAAAAAAAACCCGTCAGCAAGGGGGAAACACCAACAAGGCAAGCAGGAATGAAAGAGGGGGGAGAGGGTTGGGAAAGGCGATTTACCAGAACTCCTCTGTATCATCGATGAAAGTATCTTGTTGTACTCGAGACATGGCGTGCAATGCGAGGCTGATGAGGGTGGGCTTTGCCGTCAGAAGTGTAGATATTGATGGAGGTAGGTGAAGGCGAGTGGGTTCGAGAATGTCAGATAGAGTTTATAACAAAAGATAACAAAGCTTCTTTCAGAGTGTGAAAGGGAGATCGAGCGTTTGAAAACGATGAAATCTCTAACAAGTAGCCAAGGTGGTAGCGGTGGTAGCGGTGGTAGTGGGGGAAAAGGGAGGAAGGGAGACGTGTAAGTTGAAGGTCGAGAAGATGTTGACTTCGAGAGAAGGCTTTGTCTTGGCTTAACCCAAACCCTTGGGATAGCAATCAGCCAATCAAGTTTGGCTCATCTTATGACCAAGAAGGATTAGCGGATAATATTAACTCGTAAGCCTGAGTTTGCCGAGCATGTGCAAGATCTCGTTAACTGGTATTCGCAATTCTGTTAACCTGTTAAACTAAACCTACCATGGACTGATAAGGGGATTGATGAAGATCAGAGGTCTGGTGGAGATAGTGCATTATACGAGTTAATATCCTTGCCCATTCACCATGCCTGCTCTATTCTTTTTTACTGACACATCGCCCTTTTTAGGAAAACAATGACCTAATTACGGGCCAAGTACCGGCATCCTGATTCAGGGCCCCAAGAGCAGGATCTAATCTAATAATCTCTTCCGGCACCTTGTGAGTTTCAAACCAACGGGCGGGGGGCATCACGATTGACACCCAACAGTGATTCGAGTGCTGTCCTACTCTTTGACTACGCACGATAGGGATCCGCTTGCCATCTCCACTCAACCCCTTTCCCCTTTTCAGCCCACATCCGCATTCAGTCAAGATGTCATTGCGGATCAATTCATCCACAGTTATCGTGCGGTCGCTCCCGGCGGGTGCTCGCTCCCCCGCTATCAGACTTGCCCCCACCATTACTGCGAGGGCATACCACTCCGGAGCCAGAAGACCGGACGGAACAGAACTTCCCAATATTCGGAAAGCTGAGAGACCTCGTGAGTACAAACCATTTATTTAAGACATTGAATTTTACGAAATTCTAATTAAACCCCTACACAGCCATCGGACCCCTAAATGCACCTATCGTGAACCCGTAAGTCCGAGAATCCCCCCTCCAGCCAATACTCAAACCCAAAACCGAATCCAAAACTAACCATCTTGCTCAACAGTGCCGACAAATACAAATCCAGCTCCGAATCCCTCCACGCCTACGGCCGCTACCTAATTTCCGCCCTGCCAAAGTACATCCAACAATTCAGTATCTGGAAAGACGAATTAACCATCTACATCGCGCCCTCGGCCATCTTACCCGTCTTCGCCTTCCTCAAGAACCACACGGCGGCGCAGTACACGCAAGTGAGCGATATAACAGCGGTGGACTACCCGACCCGCATCAACCGCTTCGAAGTGGTCTACAACCTCCTGTCCATCCGCCACAACTCGCGCATTCGGGTCAAAACCTACGCCGACGAGGCCTCGCCCGTTCCCAGCATTACGGGGCTATACGATGGCGCGAACTGGTACGAGAGGGAGGTGTACGACCTCTTTGGGGTGCTGTTCGTGGGCCATCCGGACTTGAGGAGGATCATGACGGACTATGGCTTCGATGGACATCCGCTCAGGAAGGATTTTCCGCTCACAGGGTATACCGAGTTGAGGTATGATGAGGAGAAGAAGAGGATTGTGGTGGAGCCTTTGGAAATGACGCAGGCCTTCAGGTACAGTTTTCTTGGCTCCCTGGGGTTCGGGGAATGCTAACCCCGACATACAGGAACTTCCAGGGCGGTAGCAGCGTCTGGGAGCAGGTTGGGAGTGGGAAGGATGATAAGCCCGATTCGGTATGTCTCCTCTACCACTACTATTTCATTGCCAGCGTACATAGCTAACAAAAACAGTTCAAACTCCCAACACCAAAATCAGAGACGAAACCAGCGGAGAAGAAATAACCCCCAGCGCCTATTTCCATTCCCCCCACCGTTCCATCTACCACCCAGCCATTTCCTTCCTTCAATCTTTCTTGAATAAATCAATCCCACAATCGCACCCACCCACCCACTCACTGCATGTACTCTACCAAACCAGTCTGCGCAAGTCTATCCCCCCCCAAAAGCAAGCAAGAAGGGAAGAAAGCAAATTCCATGAATATAAAACTACACAATGCGACCCCATCATTGAAGCAGAATAGACAATCAAAGAAGAAAAGCAATTTTTCCAACACCCACTCCGCAACCCCAACGCCCATCAATTGAACAAAAACATCAAAGCCCACCCATCCGTGCCATCAAAACTGAAAGTGGAGAGGGGGGGAAATACCACAAAGAATTATACTAAACCACTCAAAAAGAGAGAGGGAAGGAAGGAAGGAAGGAAGGAAGGAAGGAAGGAAGGAAAATCAAGAAAACAATTAAAGAAAAACTACCAGTTCCAAGTCCGATTAGCCGCCGTAAAAACCGGCGGCTTCCACTGAATCAGCTCCGGATCCAGCGTTCTCTTACCCTTGATCTTCTGCTTCTCAACCTGCTTCTGCTTCTGACTCAGGATTGCATCTGTGAGGCAGATGACATGTTGACCTTTCTACAAATCCCCCCCAGATTCCATTCCAATCAGCTCCTGCGCTTAAACATAGATGGATGGATGGGTAGGAAGAGAGAAGGGAGTACATACAAAATATCTCAGCATATTTAAATTCTGCAACGTATGGATAACATCCTGGGTAGTCATAGCGCTCATGCTCGCCAACTCATCAATAGTAGTTTCCAACCCCTTATTATTAAGCAACAAGTCCACGATGGTATCTTGCCAATACGCCCGATAGCCGAGTAGTCCCAAGTCTGATAGTGGTTTCTCCGGGGATCCCAGTTTTCCCTCGCGCTTGCTGAGCTCGTAGGAGAAGGCAATGAGTAGTTTTCCGTATCCGTGGCGCTGGTATTGCGGGAGCGTGAGGATGCACGCAACGTTGTAGCCCTCGGCGGACTCCTTCTCCTTGGAGAAGTAGCCAATCATGTGGCAGCCGTATTCATCTCTTGTCGTCATGATGTAGAAGAGGAAGGGGTCGACGTCGTAGTACAGCGTCTTGTGGTCCAGGAAGCACTTTGACAGGAGGCACAGGTTGCGGCACCAAGTGCGCTGACGCCGCCCGTCGATCTCGAAGAAGGAGACGGCAGAGTCGCGGTAGATCTCATTCCCAGGAGGATGCATAAGTGTGCACTTTGTTCGGTGGCGTTGGAAGCGCCGCTCCTCGCCGAAATAGCTGAGGCAGAATTCGCAGATGAAAACCATCTCCTCTTCCGTGTACTCCACCGGGTACGGTGAGAAGTACCAGGGTTCCACTTCGTACTTCCCAATCTGTAGTTTTGATAAATTGCGCACGCGGGAGATCTCGTGCGCGGATTGGGTCATTGAGCCGGAAGTCCTTAGTTTCTCGATCTCGTGCTCCTTCGAGAAGGTCTCTGGCGTTCCGCTCGTGCCACTCTGCTTTGCCGAAGCGGCGCGCGCGGCGGTGGCTTTGGGGTCCGTCTCTGCGGAGTCCTCGTCAGCTTCTTCATCCTCGGGGGTGCCCACATCGCCGACGGTCTCGGGTTGCACGGCCGGGTCGTCCTCCGCGAGCGCAGAAGTGCGGCTCTTCTTGTTGTTGTTCTTTTGCGCGAGCGTCGGTGTCCCGGGACCCAGACTGTCGCCCCTCCGTGGTCTCTTCTGCGCCCTACCAGCCGTAGATGTTGGCGTTTCTCGGGGTGTCGAGGCCTTCGCTACCTTCTCCGGCTTCTTCGCGGGTCTATCCGGACGCGGCCATTCCACCTCTTTCGTCAAATCTAGACGTGTGGGTGGGACCCATTCGTCCAGACGCTTGTTGAACTCTTCGTAGTGCACATAATAATGTGGCGTGCCCTTGCGCGTTTGTATCGACAAGATCTCCGCCAGACGGTGCTCTCTCGAGTTATCATGGTAGACATACAGCTTCACGCCGACGCTGGAAGGGAATGTTAGCCTCGTTTGATTATCGAGCCTAAAAAAACATCACTCTTGACGGGGGGTTAGGCATACCGTAAGGTTGCTATGGTGGCGATGGACTTTTCTCCGGTTTGCACGTCGGGCGTGCCGACTTCGGCGCTGGTATCGCGTGTAGGCATGGTTTTGGTGATTGTGAATCGATTACGAGTGGTTTTTGCTTATCTAGATGGGTGGTCCTAGGGATATTCCCCACGAATGGGAAGGAGGCAGACGCGTTGATGATGAGGTGACGTTGAGGTCCTGGCACGTGATTTTGGTCGTTTCAGGGTTCTATTGATCTGATAAGATGGAACCACCTTTGTTCCTGAGAGCAACTTGAGTTTACTATGACCATTGACAAGACTTTAAGTTAACTTAACTTATCCCATTCGGTTCCGGCCCGGAATTGACATACCATAAAAACTGTGATAATCGGATCTCACGCCGGTAAGGTCAGTCGTGTTCTAATTTCAATTTACCCCAGCGGAGGGCCGAAAGACCTTTTTCTTTTTTTACCATATCCTTCTCTCCGATCCAAAAGAGGGAATTCTAGACCTCTGAGCGTAAGGTCCAATTATTCTAGTTTTTACGGTACCGCACGGTATCATAGCCTCCTCTCTAGCAAAACTTTAGGCTCCATAACAGCTGGCCCAGTCTCACAATAACCCCTGAGACGAACTCTCTTGCTCCCCCAATTCACAACAAGCACCATCCTAAGGCACCCATGATACGCCTTCCACACTCAAGAAAGCCAGCCCACACCAGAACATAAAAGGGATGGCCTTAGCCCTCCCTCCCTACTCGAGTATAGGTACAATATTGCACCATCCAAAGCCCAGATGACCTAATAACACAATACCTACAAAACCTCCTCACTAAAGGTCACTCGTTGGTATTCCACATCACACCCATCACCACCGTACTGGATACTCGTGCCAAATCAATTCCCCCCTAAAAGAATCTTCGAAGAAACGAAAGAGAATTCTTGCCTGTAGATAATTCCTGGATCACTTCACCTGAACCTGAATCGGCCGGGTGAACAAATCACATATCCAAAAACGCTTACCTGACTGTTACTAATGGTCAACCCCCATGCACTGCTATTGAGGCATTAAAAAACACCTTAAAGCCTAACACCGATGGCCGTATAAAGCTATCAACACCCCCGCTGACTACAAACCATCTAGCAACTTCTCGACTTTCCCGGGTCTCCACATCCACACGCACTGATCGAACAGACCTGGCCACCCGCCTAGCAAAGAGGGGACACATCACGGCCACCAAACGGAAAGAACAGCGGACGAATACAACACCGCTTCTCATTCATAATTAATTTTACCCATATTACGCAAAGATACTCCCAACCAGCTTCAAAGAGCACTAATTTTCAACGAAACAGAAAGGGAAAAGAATGAGGGAGAAGGAATCATTACTCAAGAAATATTTAAAAGAAAGGGAAAAATAATGAATGAAGGGAAACAGGAAACAAAAGTGGAAAGATAAATGACGAGTCCCATATCCAATCACTCTGACCAAGTTTTATCACTGGCACGTCAACTATTTCTGCTCAGCCGGGGCGGTAGCGGCGGGAACGGAATTGACGGTCTCTGCGTTTGGCGGCCCGACAGCAGCGGGCGCCGCTCCAGTCTCTGGTACCTCTGGGTCCTTAGTCTCCTCCTTCGTCTTCGCCTCAGGTTCAGTAGCCGCCGATGAGTCCACGTTAGGTACAGGCGGGGATGGTTCAACTTGGGCGGTTGCCTCCGTTGGTGCTTCTACTTTAGGGGCTGTTCGAATTAGCCCTCGCACTGCGCGTTTTCAAGCAGAGTAGGGCAAAACACGACATACCTTCAGTAGTAGCAGCGGTGGGTTCGGTGGGCGGCGGAGCGGCGGCAGCGGTACCTGCAGCAGCAACGGGAGCTGCAGCACTCGTGGCAGGAGCGACGGCACCCTCTGGTTGTGTCGTGGCATCGGCTTTCTTCTCCTTCTTCTTACGACCTAAGATTGAACGGCCAAGTTTCTTGAGAAGGCCCAGAGCATTTGGGGGCTGCCGTTCATCATCATCGGATTAGCCACGTATGCTTCGGACTCAGCCCCAAGGAGGGAAGATAAGAAGAAGGAAGCAAACTCACAACACCGGGCATCGTGAAGGATGGTTAAAAAGCGAAAGCCCTTTCAAGAAAAGACTACCGTGGGAGAGTTTGTATCCGTGGTTAGGCAAACGGTGAAGATGCGAGAAGGCGGAAGAGAAGGAGTGGAGGGCAATCAAAGGAAGGAAGGGAAGAGAAAGGGAAGAGGAAGGGGGAAGATGAGCAAGAGAGAAAACGGGGGGAACACAAGAAATCTGGGCGGATGGAGATTGCGAATACCAAGACAAAACGGATAGGCAGACAGAACAGCAGAAAGGTTAGACTACAAAACAAAAGGGCGGAATGGGGGAAATAAAAATACCGTAAAGAGGGAGCTTTTTAAGGGCCCTCAACGACTGCACTTGAATACGGTAGGTAAACCCTGACACGAGCCCAACCCACCCCAAATCTAACCACCAGTACCAGCACGGCCGAGTTGAAGTTGGACACTTTGTATGGGAGTTGCCATTCTAACTGTCCAACTTCAACTCGGCCGTACGAGCACCGGAGTGTTTGGTGAATAGAAGTTACGGTAGCGAGTGGAGACGTGAGAGCAGCTCTGATTGGTTCGAGCGTGAACCAGAACCTCCAGCGGGGCCCAGGCCGGCGTGGTCAAAAGGCAGGAAGGCATGGCTTGGCGCGGTTAAAACCAGTTGGATGGCGGGCGCCCGCGGGCCTGAAAAAATATAATACCGTACCCTTGGAACCAAGTCCCTTGTCAATCTTCGCAACGAGGTTGTGGAGATGCTAGGTTCTAGGGCTATGAAAAATGAGAACAACCAAAGCGATCAATGGTATATATCATACAGTCTTCCATGCGCGTAAAGTTTTATTCAATACCCGTATGATACCGTATCCTATGGAGGAGCTATCATTACTACTTTTATGATACAGGACACTAGTAAGCAGGTCTAGCCACCCCTAACCCTCGTGTTCTGACCTCTCAATTTTGCGGGAGTCTACCTGCCCCGCCGTGTTGTGGTCGGCCGGGCCAACTGGGGGCGCTGCGAAAGGAGCTAGGCACCAAATCAATTACTGGCGCTCAAGTCAAACATTCAATTTTCCCTTTCCCGAGAGGGAAAGTGGAAAGAAGAAAAAAACCGACCTTGTCTTGTCGTCCGTGCAAAGAAAGGCCTTATCATAATATTATAAAACAAACTCCCTACGAGTACGAGTACAGTACCAGTACTTTAAAAGTGCCCGTGCTTGTAAACTCGGTGTAAATTTTTTTTTTTTTATAAAAACGAATGAGATATCATACGGTATCATACAGTATCACACCAACGATATCACAAGTACTAGTACTTGTACTGTACTCGAGCACAGTGTGAAACGCGGTTCCAGACCGCATGAAATCAGTGAGGGACGATGGACCACCGTACCGGTACCCATACATTTTTTCCGCAAACCTCGTATCACAAATTTTAAAAAAGAAACAAATTCTTGGACAGGCGTTTCAGACAAGATCGGTCCGTCTCGCAGATTCGATGTCTTTCCCTCCTCCCTCGCCAACCAGCTTTCACCGTGAGATATCATAGGTAGAAAATAAAAATACCAAAAAAAAAGGTACTCGTATGATAGATATAATAGCGAGCAACTTCGAACCCGCTCTTTTGCTGATCAGGTATTTTTTTTTCGCGGGATCCAATACCGTCAGGGGCTTGCTGTACAAGTAGTTTGTTTCCTTCCTACTCTGGGAAGCATTTTCGGTGCTCCACAAATAGCATTATGGTATTTCCACTTTTATGGCATTTGTTTCATGGTACTTTTATAATTAGAGGTGTGTGCCAACATGGCAGAAATACCATGGTATGATTTTTTTTTTTTTTTTTCAATCTATCATAGTACCGGTATTTCTTGCAATATCATAAAGGTTTGGGATAAAAATATGAAAATACATATCTTTCCCCAGATGTTGAGGTGATGCTTAAGTTCTTGATATTCTCGTTCATATTTTTCCTTTACAGTACTTTATAATAACCAGGCTCATATCGTAGAAAAGATATATACCTAATTCTATTTCATCTTTGTTAAAACTGTGGCTTGCAGCATACAAGTAGTGATTATATTAAAAGGTTACTTCAGTAACAAACGAATGAAGAAGAACCATGTTAAAATATGACTTCCGCCAAATGCCTCTATTTTCAGAAATACCATCATATTTTTATAAGAGCTTGTAAGTAACTTTCAAGAAATACCATAACATTTCTAAAATGAAATACTAGCACTGCTCCGAAGGATGGCGCTGAAGCAATACTGAATGGAGCATATCTTGAGGATCCTCTGCGGGGGGGGTACGAGAGACTTCCAAAGAGAGAAGTGGGGGGTGAACTGGGAATGTCTAAAAAAGGGAATGGTATCATAACTCCAAAGCAGCTGGCACGGGTTCTCGACCCAAACCCTATTTCTTTCTAGACAACATGATATCGTACTAATGAACACCGGTAATCCCCAAGTCACAGTCTTAACAGTCCGGTATACACCACGAGAACTGGACGGGTGATGAGTATGGATCAGGATCAAGTAAGTTTTTGTTACCCTACTTTGAGGATTTCCTTTTTGCCCATTAAATTTAACACCCCCGGTCGTCACTAGCTTAGTTTCGTCGTGGGTACGGTTATGGCTGTAGATCGCCGCCCACTACCGTACTTTCCGAGTTTTAAGGACCCCCCCCCGAGTACAGGGGGTGATGTGGGGTCATCCAGGTGATTTGTGTTCTGGGAGCTGTTTGGCTAAAGTGTTGCAAAGTAGTACTCGAGTACCCGAACCTAGGGATTAGAGAATTATATAGCCAATCGTTCGTGCGCGTCGGTGCGCGCAAACAAAATTATCCTCAATGTTCCCGTATTTCTTGCCTCGGGCGGGTGGGGTGCCGTATGTATCGGTGAGAGCATGGTAATTCTAGGGTGCCACAACGAGCAGGAGTCCCTTCTGGAATATTTGTCTGGAGACTGGGATGGGGCGGTATGGTAAACCGGTAACCTGGCTTCACGGAGACGGTGGCATCGTGGGCGCTACTATGAGTAGTCTCACATGTGATTTGGATCCTTCGAAAGCATCAACGGCAAACATAAGTTTCTGTGTTATTGGAAACGATGTGGCGGGGGCTAATTTGGAAATGGATAGAGCACACAAGCTAGGGCAGTATATTTCTATAAACGTATTACAACATCTGGGATAATTGAATGATAAACAAAACACCATTTTCAGCAGATGCGAACTCAGTGATGAGAACTTTGGCTTTGGCATTATGACTGCCGTGATAGGCTGTTTAGTGGGCAATATATCGGGGATTATACCAACCTCGAGCCGTAGTAACCTTGCCGAGCCAATTCGCTCGCGTTCGCGAACGACCGGGCACCACCATGAGAAGGGAGGTACCGAAAAATATTCAAAGTAGGCTCCCGGGTAATAGCTGCCGAAGTTGCATTGCAATATCACGTCTTGATTAGCATCATCCTCAAATCAAACGGCTTGAAACGAAAGAGAATCGAATAGGGTATGGGGAACATTTTCAGAAAACAGCGCTATCCAATCCCTATCATCCGGTATGATACCAGGGCCACTCCTTGTCCATGCCTTCCCAATGCCCCATTGAAGCAGGAAAACTGAAACCAAATCTCACTATCCCATCTTAGCAACAGATCAGATAACTGTGACGTGAAAATGAATGATAAAAGAAAACAATGAAAAACCAGTTACAGACTCCGAAGAAATATAAGAGACCGCAGCCTTGCTGTACAAACTGCCCCTGAACTTCCCAGATAGAAAAAAAGGCCGATGTTCGTTAATCACCTTTCTTGGTGTATATAGAAAAAACTTTTTCTTCGATTGGGTAGACGTAGGAATATGGCCAAAGGGAAAAGCATCCGTCAGCTTAAGGCGGTCGGTGGGGTAAAACGAGGAAAGGCAGAGGAGGATGGGATAGCAACTCCCAAAAGATACTCCCGCTCTCAGAGGTTTAGTCCTCTTCCTCTCCCTGATGATATACGTGTTTCCCTCTAGCAACATCCTTCCTCATAGGCTGCCCGGACCCCGTGAAACCAACTATAGAAGAAAAGTTAGCCGATGATTCTCGCGTTATGTGATTGGAGGGGGGGTGGTCAAATGTAAAACCTGTACGAACCTCGACCATGCACACCCTCCGGAGTTCTAAACATGCTGCTCTCGCCTATCTTTCTGGCCTTCCCAGTCTTGCCCTTTACACCCTTAGAAGCAAAGTCCTGCCACTTCTTTTTGCCCTCCTCGAGCACCTTTTTTTGTGCAATTTTCCGCCCGGTTTTCGGGACTTTCGAGGGGCCATCAGCAGCTTTACTGGACTCTCGTTTGCTCGCCTCTGCCAATTCAGTATTTATAGTAGCGGGCTGCGAGATAATGGCGCTGTTAGAGATAGCAGAAGTAGTGGGGGTAGACGAAGCAGAAGAGGGGCCGATGTTATTCCCATTGCTGTGGATAGGTGAATTATCGAGTTTACGTTTCTTGCTAGCAAAGTTTGAAGCTGGCTTGATATGCTGTGCGTGTAGAGTCTCTGTAGCGTTATATTGGGTAAATTTGACGATGTAGACTGGGTTTTGTTGTGATCCCATCACCGAAGTAATCCTGGCCGGATAAAGCTGGTTATCGCCGCTGGTCCATCTCGCGAGGACGTTGTCGCCAACTGCATAAATACTGTTGCTTCCCGTTCCAGCACCTCCTACCTCATTGGAAGTACTAGGTGAATCCCGCTTATTGTTGTGATTGGTGTGGTTACGATTGTGGTGGGATGGAGGAGGGGACGGGGCTTGGCCGGCTTGTTCGGCGAGAACGGATTCTGTCAGTGCGATAACTTCCTTCAGTTCCGTGACCAGGCCTACCAGCTCTGGGTTTTCGGGATCTGCTTTAAGCGCAGCTTCAACAGACTCAAGCTATAAACAAGGCGCAATGGAGACGTTAGTCAACATTGATAGATGAATTGATGAAGAGGAAGAAGGGGCAAGGGATGGGAAGGCTTACCTGTAGTTTGTATTCTTTTAGTTCTGCTTCCATAGCTTTACGTCGGGTTGAAAAATATCGGGGAAATAGATCGGACGGGTGGACAGTGCGGGAGAATAAATTCGCCTTGACGGTCGGGGCTCGCTGGTTGATGATTGAACCGCGAAGAAGGCAGTTGGTGAATGTCGAGAAAGGCTTCACCTCCAACTTTGTGGTCTTGGCGCCGCCATTTCTATTAAATTTTTACCCTTATTTGCCCTCCTTACTCAGCAGAAACTAAAATACCAAATTCGTATCATCCAAACGAAAGATCGCTCGCTCGCTTGGGGGTCTCAAAGTCGACCTACCAGCACAGTACCGGCGCACTTCCTGCTACCTAGGGTATGATATTCTGATATTGATCAAAGAAGTGATAGACAAGCCTGGGAAGTCATCTTTCCAGTTGGCTGATACCTGTATCTTAACCACCACGGAACAGACTTGGGGGAGTTGAAGTCTTTAAGGTTGACTCGACGACATACAAGTACCGGTACAAGCATAATTTAAATGTCGGGCAATTTATTGAACCGGCTCCGCACACCCTTCCCAATGGCTTGTACTGTACGAGTACTAGTACTGGCCCCCAAGCACGGTCCAAGACACGATACATGGGAGGAATGTTACCGGCGTGCGGATTTGCGAGGGGCCCCGTTTAGAATATTCACCAAATGCGATACGGCAGATGCTTCACTTCCGCATCGTATTTGTACATGCGGGGAGAGGTTGGTTAGGCTATGTTTTGGGTATAAGCATCGCATGCACAACGATAAGATCATGGTTTCAAGGTTATGACTAAAGACAGATGATTAGACTATGGGGCTCAGCTCCTTTCATAAGCTCAGCACCGCATATCATGGTGCGCACAATGGTGGTCTGCAACTGGAAAAATCACGAGCACTACCGGTATCACTACTTGGCTAGGAAGGATATGGATGAAATTTAGGTTGCCACCCCTTATCTTCTTTTAAAGAGATGCGCACGCATCGAAGCGGTAGTCCTTGCGAAAGAACTTTCTAAAGGGTGCGATTGTGCTATGACGTTAGCACCGTAAAATCTCGTGGAATACACCTGTGCTCGAGTACTCGTACTACTTGTATCTCCGTCAGCCCTGTAATCTCCAGATTTACTCGTAGAGACAAGCCCCTGAGTAGGATTAGTGTTTGCCTGACACAATAATGTCAGCCTACTCGAGTGTGTTGGGTCTCATTATTTCTTATTTACAATTCCGTTAACTTGTCAGATTAAACCCATCCTAGGTTGGGATAGTGGAATTCACGAGATTTTACGGTATTAGACTAGAGTACCGGTGTCGTGATGCTGCTGTAGTACTCGAGCAGAGGCACAGTACTGTGCTGTACTAGAGAATTTGCATAGTATTTAGTTATTACAACTGCTGTTATATGGATCAGGGAGGGAAGAACAGAAAAAAAACCCTTTCATACCAGTGATTCCAGACCCTCCCCTCAGGGTCTAGGCCTAGAATCAGATTATACTATCATACCATATTCACATGTTTTTATAAAATTAGGAGATCTCAATTCCCATATCCTACATAATGGATTGTTTAATAACAACTTATTATTGAGAGAAAATTGAACTTTGAAGCCCCTGCTCAGTACATAGAGAGGTTAACTAGCTCTTAATATATTAACTACTATTTTATTACCAGCTAAGTATTTTATATAATAATATTATTATGGGAACTATTACTTGATAATAGTACTTTTAAGCTCAGAAGTATAACCTACTAGTATTTTTAAGTATCTTGAGAATCTTTAAAAAATTCCCAAATACTATTAGGATAGGGCTTAAAGTGTTGATAGTTATTCTTCTGAGAAGATATTAGAAGAAAAAAATCTCCTATATCCTATAAGTCAGTTTACATTTACATCTTTCTTTATATTTCATATATCTAGAGTGATACATTCAAAGATTGTCTAATGTAGGTAATTTTACAAGAATAATAAAAATTTAAGTAAGATTTTATTATATTCTTAAGATTTCTTCTTTGTTGCTTGATGATATTTGCAAAACTTAAAAGATACTTTAATATTTATATCCTGTATCTGAGCATTTATGGACTATAATACATCTATTTATTGTGAAATTAAAGAATCCTTTTGTTCTAATATGTAAACTTCAAAAGATTTTAACCATTGTGGATACCTTTTGGCCATAAAAAACTATCATAATATTAATACTTTAACTATAGAAAACTATTTTTTATGATATAAAAGAGCATGCTATTATCTTCCAACAAACTGATTCCGGTTCTTAGGCTAAATAGACTCTATTTCGTAACTTTAATCCTGTTGACTATTGTCTCAGTATCATACCGGCATTTTTTGCCATAGTACCTCTCTTTCCGCGAAGACTTTGTAAACCGGAGTGTACGCTGCCGGTATTGTGGTAATTTTTTTTTTGATCGAGGCTCCAGTTGCCCAGGCAGCGGGACACAGCCAATGAGAGGGGTTTACAATAATATGCGGAGAGTCGGGGAGTGGGAGAATCATGCCCTAAAATCCGTTCTACTCGAGTGCAACAGAAACTGACTGAAGCAGCCGATGAGGATCTCAAAGAGAGGAATGGTACCCCACTGATGTCTGAGGTCATTGCAAGTCCCCTCCCCCCTCCCATTCCCCGGTCTCGCTCACAGGTATGTGCATTTGTAAGCTATGCGGATGAGCTTGTCAGAGCTTGCGCTGCTGTGACTACCTGTATGTTATGCAGACGAAGAAATAGAGATAGGTTCAACCCCGGAGTTAGATGGAGGACAGACAATTTCTCCGTTGGTCGCCGTGATGCACAGTATCACGGGGGTGATTCATACCGTGCCTGCCCGGGGTTGCAGTTGCACCGCTACCGCATGATACGGGGGAGAGGGAGAGGAGAAGGAGGCCGGGAACTGCCCAGTGCCCACCGTTCGGTACCCTACCGGTATTGCCATTCTCACCCTCAACTCGGCACAGACATCGCTACAGGCACAGATACTCGCATCACACAGAAGGCTGTCATAAGTGACAAGCTCCATCACCGCATCGGAAAGCGTATCTCATAACTTTACATTTTGTTCTATCCGAACTTATTCACCGCCTTATCCTCCGGGAAATACTGTCCTCGCCATTCAAATAGCACGAAATAGCACGAAATTCATCTACCACTGTTAACTGTTCAAAAACCTCACCCACCACTACAATTTTAACATTCTGCTATTCGAGTATGCAAGTATCATAGTACTGCAGCTTCCTGGGGTCCGAATACCGAAGTTCTTGCCTCATTTTTTCCATTTTTCCATTTTTTTCCTGTTAGTGCTTCTGTTTCTTCCCCATCTTGACAACTGCCATTTCCTCCATTCATCTATTCATCCCCACCACCATCTCGTTCCCCAAGCAATCGTTCCTTCCCATTCCCACCTACCTTCTACTTTAATATCTCCCCCGCCTGCTCCTATTCCCTTCGAACCTCCCATACACATACTCCACCGCATCACCTACATTTCCATTTTCGTTCTCACCATCCTCGCCCACCGCTGCTGCATCTTTGAAAGCTGCAGTACCCTGTCACGTTGTGCAGCCCGTTGCCGGAACCACTAGCGGAACCCATCCCCACTTCTTGTTTCCTCGCGGCTGCACCATCTTTATCCGTTGGCAGCGCTCTCTTACTACCGGTATCTCTCTCTCTCTCTCTCTTACTATTTCCCACCAAGTTAGACTGAAGGTGAGTTTGGTGTGTGTGATAGAAGCCCCAGATTTCCTGTCAACGCGCGCTTCCCTCATCCCACTACTGGTACCCTCGAATCCTGTCCGTGTTCTGTCCCTCACCCCTCTTCACACACCTTCTATCCTACACTCCACCCTTTTACCATACCCCCCTCGCCCTTATCCCGTCTTCCTCATTTTCGCCCCTGCACCTTAGGCTTTCCCCAATCCTTCCTGCCCTCCAAATTCCCTAAACCCTCAAACAACCTTTACTGAAAGCCAACCGCCACCGAACCTCTTGCCACCATCGCCGAGGAAACCCATTTTTGAGTCCCGCAAACACCTTCGCTTGCCCTTAGTCAAGTGGCAGTCCTTTTTATCACACATAGCCTCTATCCTTTTTATTCTCGCAGCTTTCTGTGATTACTATCTCAGAGGTGTCGTCATCCCCCATATTCACAGACCCAAATAAAAAAAACTTCTCCTGAGTCAGA